CACAGTCCATCCTGCCACATCTGCACAGACTAATGGGCTGTCAGCTTGGTTTGTTCCACTCAGTGCATCCTTTTCATTGACACAATCTCTCCTTTTTCTGACATTCTTTTGTTGTACATATTCATTTGCAGTAACAGTACAGTTCAGTGTTCTTGTGTGTATTCTGTAGAAACTGTGAAGTAAATAAACTATTGAAAGTGCACAATGTGAAGCATATAAAATGTAAAATAAATTTTTGCAAGGCAGATGAGACACCAACAAAGGGAGAAGTAAAAGATGGGTGATGACTCCAAAAGATAAAGTGACCACATGTGTTGTGCTCTGCTCTACTAATATCACAACACCGGTGTTAGGTGTTTCTATTAAATCTTGAAGATTTTCTAACTGTTCTGAACGACACTTAATTGTCTTATGACTCAAATATTTACCCGAAGAAAAAACCGTGCATCCCATTAAATGGCGTTTAAATTCAAATACCTGCAGATTTCACCGTGTAAACAAAGAAGCAGGCCTCCTTTTTCCGAATTACAAGCCATACCACCTACTCTTTTAACGTATTTTTTGAACAGCAAGCGCGTGTCCAATAAGCAAAATTCATTGTTGTCTTTACATTTAGCGTGGAAACAATAAATCTTTGACGCTCACGAGGAGTATCGTGCGGTTGCGCGAGGACATGAAACTCGCGCGGTTGCCAGACTGCGAAGTACAATCCAATTTATATACAATTTAGTATAATTTGGTATTATTATTATTATGATATTTTAGTTCCGTCCGAATGTGCCATATCCTAGTAATCAATAAGGACAATGTCAGTAAAGATTACAGCGACTTTTACCTAATGTAGCTGTGTCCTGTATTTGCGAAATGTGCCATTTAGGCTAACAGGAAAATTGTTTGTTTTAATAAATGACTCACATTTCTCTGGAGTCTTATGTGAAGCTCATGCACGAACTATCATCATCAAAACATGCAGAATATCTGAATTACAAATGACTACAATCAGGGTTCGAATTATGATTTCATCTTTGTGGGGGTCTCTTTAAAAAAAGAAAAAAAAAGTAGCCTATAAGCAGGCGTGGTGTGTGTGATAAATAAATTGATTAACACTACACTTCATTCTTTTGAGTCCAACGTTTATTAATACAGGAGTAGAGAAACGAAAATAATAAACCACCTTATATCACCCTCCCTTACGAAATGAAAATATATTTACCAATATATTACTTGAAATATTTTGTAATATATTATTTTCCAATATATTATATATTGGAAATACATGGAATAATATATCAATGATCAATATATTATACAATATATTATATATTCATGTAATATATTGCAATATATTGCAAAATATACAAATGATTGCCGCTTTCCATATATTGCAATATATTGGAAAATATAAATATTAAATCCCATATATGGAAATATATTGCCTAATATATCACATGATATTTTCCAATATACTGCAATATATTATTGTTTCGTAAGGGGCTGTTGCTAGGCTATGACTTTGTTGTCATCATGGCAAAGAATGGGCTCTTCAAAGTGGTATCCTTTGGTATTTAATTCACAAGCAGCAACCGTGGTATAACATGACAAAAAATACGCCCATGCATGGTGAAATAATGTGAAAAGTCAGAAAGGAGGATAATTCCACTTAAAGGGATACTCCACTTTTTTTGGAAATAGGCTCATTTTACAACTCCCCCAGAGTTAAACCGTTGAGTTTTACCGTTTTTGAATCCATTCAGCCGATCTCCGGTTCTGGCGGTACCACTTTTAGCATAGCTTAGCATACATCATTGGAGTGGACAAGACCATTAGCATTTCTAAAAAAAAATAAAAAAAAATAACCAAAGAGTTTCGATATTTTTCCTATTTAAAACTTGACTCTTCTGTAGTTACATCTTGCACTAAGACCGACGGAAAATGTAAAGTTGTGATTTTCTAGGCTGGTATGGCTAGGAACTATACTCTCATTCCTGCGTAATAATCAAGAAACTTCACTGCCGTACCATGAGTACAGCAGGCGTAATGATATGACGCAGCGCCTGAAAATAGTTCCGTTGTGTTGACGGAAGGTAGCCTATTTTCAGGCGCTGCGTCATATCATTACGCCGTTGGTCTTAGTGCACGATGTAACTACAGAAGAGTCAAGTTTTAAATAGGAAAAATATCGAAACTCTTTGGTCATTTTATTTTTTAGAAATGCTAATGGTCTTGTCCACTTCAATGATGTATGCTAAGCTATGCTAAAAGTGCTACCGCCAGAACCGGAGATCGGCTGAATGGATTCAAAAACGGTAAAACTCAACAGTTTAACTCTGGGGGAGTTGTAAAAGGAGCCCATTTCCAAAAAAGTGGAGTATCCCTTTAACACACACATACTGTCAAGAACAGGGCAAGATCATACAAACCAAATTTTAGAACATCTTCCCCTAGTCTAGTCTCATTCGGTAAAATCCTTATCATGTATTTTAATAATAAGATCATTTAATTAGTATTTTTCATAGACCATCATATAGCCTATTGTGTTTCCCACAGTATATTTGTGGGTGGAGTTCGGTAGGCTACCTCTAGGGGGGTCTGGGGGCATGCCCCCCCAGGAAGAAAATTTTGTACATTTTAAAGATAAATTCATTAATCTGGTGCACTTTGAGTCACCCGAATCCGCTGTTAAAAATCCAACCCCCCAAACCTATGATATTCTTTGATTTAGATATCTGAATGCCCTGATATGTTTTCCTTGCTTGGTTTTCTCTAAAGAGAATTACGTTGTTGAAAACGAAAGTAAAAGAGTGACGCTCATTGTGTTTTACCATTCGAGAGTTCCGTGTCTTTATTCAAATCAACACATTATAATGATTTATCTGTCATTCACCCTCAAAAATGTAATTTTTTTATTATTTGGCTCGCAGATTATGATCCGCGCAGCATATCGCCAAACTATACGGTTTGAGAATGGGCACAGGCCGGGAACCCGCAACAGAACCGTCACGGTGGATAAAGTGTATCTGCATGTGACTGTCTATCCGAGTTTTGTCGAGAGCCAGAGGCGGCTGCCTCGTACTTCTATATGCAGGAAATTGATTGGGACTAGTAGCGTCCCCCAAAATAATTTTTTTGCTAGTAGGCTACTTATTTTCTGAAACCTAAAATAAACATTATGTGGTTGAAAACACTGAATAGTTGTGATATATGACAGCACTGAGCGCGTCCGTCTCTGGCTCAGCGCCAGCCAACGCGCAAAAGCACGTTTGAATTTAGCAGTTGATCACGTGATGCACCGACCGTTCTAATCACACCGGTGTGATCGTACGCTCCAGGGACCCGCCAAGACTGATCACACCGGTACGTGCGAAAGGGTTAATAAATATGCCTCGATATATTGAAGGAAAAAGTGCTTTATTTGTAATTTAAAATGATGGTGCTGATGATTTTTAGAGCCCCCACAGGTGTATGATTTTACTGCTTTCATGGGAGCTCATCCTCTCTCTATGGGAGCTCAGCTCCCACTGGCTCCCACGTAATTCGAACCATGAGTCTACAATACAATAACAGGCTGTGATTGCACGGCATCATTTCATATTTGATAGTTTACATAACCCTATTGTCTTAGGAGAGATAGAACAGAAAACGAATTGGCTGACAGTCAAATCAGAAATAAACCAGCAGTGATTTCATTTGTGGCGTTAAACTCTAATTTACAACTGTGAATAAAGATTAATTAATGCTGATAATTAGCCGAAATAGAGGCACAATGGGATGATAAAAACCAAGACATGCACAGAAAAGAACCCTGGATTATAACTTTATTATCTCTTAAGTGCATGCTTCAGCTCTGAGGCCTAATGAAATACACACACACACACACACACACACCCTCTTATACCTTGGTGTACCTCAGCCAGTCACACTGTTTTCTGCTTCAGTGCTTCCAGTGTTATATAACAAGGTCAGGAAAGGACTTTACAATCAAATAGACAGGGAACCTGACCTGTACATGGAAATGTTGCAGGAATTTCATTGATTCACTGTATTAATACTACCTTAAAAATCTCTGTGATCATGTTTTGTTATGAAACAATTCTCAAAAGAGGAAACAATATTATGCCAACAAAGAATCCTCTGAATATCTCTGTTATGAAGACATCCACGATTTGAGAGTAAGTACAATATTGATGTCAAATCATTGATCAAATCCAGGTATTTTCAAGAGCGTAAATAGAGAACCCAAGGTCTTCATTTTCTTGCGGATTTATATATTTTTTAAATTACTGATCACTTTAGATTAATTTTACACTATACACTACTACTCAAAACTTTGGGGTCAGTAAGATTTCTTAAATGTTTTAGAAAGACTCTTATGCTCACCAAGGCTGCTGCATTTATTTAATCAAAAACCCAATAAAACAACATTGTGAAAATTACTACAATATAAAGTAATTGTTTTCTTTTTGAATCTATTTTAAAATTTAATTTATTCCTATGATCAAAGCTGAGTTTTCAGCATCATTAGTGTCACATGATTCTTCAGGAATCATTCTAATATGCTGATTTAGTGCTGAAGAAGCATTTCTTATTATTATTATCAATGGTAAAAACAGTTATTTGCTATTTAGTTTTTTGTGGAAGCAGTGATAATTTTTTTTTTATGAATAGAAAGTTCAAAAGAACAGCATTCTTTTGTAACATTAAAAACATCACTGATGGTGTGCATGTATGCAATCAATTCAAGCAACAATCAAGGGATCCACAGGACATTTTTCAAATTCTGTGCTTAGATTGTATCTCGGCTTTATCTTCAAAACAGGTGTCACATGTGTCATGTGAGAACTGAGATCATGAGGTGTCACGTTTGAGTCTTCTGGCATGCAAGCAATCATGCACAAACAACTCAAGCAGCTAATACATTTACAGTATTGAAATCAAACTACATCAACTGAGTAATTCATTTATTTTCCAAAGCATTAATGCTTTATCTCCCTTCAGACATACAGAAGGGAGATAAAGCTACAGCTGATCATGTTTTAAACTCTGTCAAATGTTGATGAACACTCCGGTGTCTGGATCAGATCAGAGTTTGCCCTTCCTCTTTTTAATGCGAGTCTTCCTCTTGGTGTTTGTGTCAATGATTGACTGCGACTGGTGCTTCAGAGTGAGACGGGTGATGACATCACCCTCATCATCGCCACTGTCGTCCTCATCTGTTGACAGAAAAGACATGCAAGTGTGTAAGGTGTGTGTCAGGTCTGTCTGCTAAACGTAATAGTTCTGCTATTGTTCCCTGTACATATGGATCAACAGCATTTATAGTTCCCATGTACCAGTGTACACAGTGTACAGATTGAGTAATGGAACTAAATCAGAAGAGCCCAGGTGAACATCTTGATAAGAGGGAGCTTTTGAACAGTGTACATCAAAAAACACATGGCCGTTCCAGGTCAAGAGCTTTCCAAGTTCACAAACCAGTGATCACTGGTGCAAAATGGAAATCAGTGTGCCCAAGATAAAGAAGTATAATGGGAAAAAAAGTTTTAAACATAAAGTATGCCAAGTTCTTAGATATACTGTATATGTAATCTTTGTATCCATGTTGATTTCATATGGCTTGTATGTTCAACAAGAAGTTTAAATTTAACAAATGTCATGTGGTGTAACCATCAAGTAAAAACTAATAGCATATTTTCTTTATACTTTGATGAATGATAAAATATATTATTCAAGCTAAAAATAATGTTATAAAATATCATTAAGTAGGATTTTTTTATTGAGGAGTTTTTTAAACCATATAAATACCCTGAAATGTGTGACTTCACGCCCCAAAAAGCTTAATTCAGATATAGGATACATGTATGGAAGCCCATTTCCGCCATAAAGCAATAATTATGAGATAAGAAGTCAATTATGGCATAAAAAATTTAAATTATTAGGAAAAGTCATAAATATTACAAAAAGTCAAAATTATGACATAAAAGGTCAATTATGGCATAAAAAATGTAAATGATCAGGAAAAGTCATAATTGCAAAAAGTTTAAATTAAAATATAAAAAGATGAAATTAAAACAAAAAGTTATAGAAAAAAAATCATAATTGTGACAAAACATTCAGAATTTTTATCTCATAATTATGACTTGGTATTTCACCAAAGCATGATTATTTTCTTATGTGGCAGAAATGAGATTCCATGGTGATGTGAGCTAGTGTCTCACCATCAAAAGAGTCCTGTTTCTGGGCCTCATGCAACTGAATGCGCGTGTTGTACTGGGGTAGTTTTCCTGCTATCCTGGCAGGGAACTGCAAAGAGGCATGAAATAAACAACATATTAGTAATATTAGTAAACGTTATTTTACAACTTCCAAAAAAGTAAAATATGACATATATTCCTAAAGTAAACAAAACAGTCAATGTTTCACTAGTTACACATCTTCAACAAGCCCAAATACAATAACAGCAACTTGACTAATCATTGTTCCTCACCTCCTCTTCCTCCATCTCCTTCAGGATGGTTGCCAGATCTTTGCCCTGTAGTTCCTCCTTTAGTAGCATCAGTTTCTGCTCGGCCTCAGACATCAGCTGCAGTGTTTGTTCTTCTGAGTCTGGAGGCAGCTGTGGTGTCGGACCCTTTATCTGCCAGAGACACGAGACATACTCAGATATTTCTAATCTCTGCTCAGCTACACACATTTCATGCATGCATCGTTTGAATGTAAAAACGTTTCCTTAATCACTAACTACATAGAATACATCCCTGGACACTTTTTAATGAATAATTATTATGCAGTTTCTACTCAATTTTACAAAAAAACAAACAAAAAACATTCTAATACACTACTGTTCAACATTTTAGGATCAGTTTTTTTAAGAAATTTTTTTTTTGTGAAAAAAGTTAAAGACATTTTTAATGTTACGAAAGATTTCTATTCCAAATGAATGCTGTTGTTTTTAATTGTCTATTTATCAAAAATCTTGGTTTCCACACAAATATTGAGCAGCACAACTGTTTTCAAAATTGATAATAATAAGAAATGTTTCTTTAGCACCAATCAAGCATATTAGAATGATTTCTGAAGGATCATGTGACACTGATGACTGGAGTAATGATGATGCTGAAAATGCAGCTTTTCCATCACAGGAATGAATTACATTTTAAAATATATTCAAATAGAAAACATGTATTTTAAATTGTAAAAATATTTCACATTACTGTTTTACTGTATTTTTGATCAAATAAATGCAGCCTGAGTATGCAGTACTGATGTACTATGAAACATACTGTAACTTTCAGAATTCCCATACAAGAATTAAAATCGACATTTATTAAACTGCAACTATATGTAGCATTAATGCTCATTTGACATGCAAATAGGTTAGCCAATCATATCAGAGGGCAGTTACATAGACGTCTTAAATGTACTGTGGCAAAAACAGTCTGTTTAATTTAAAGGTCAGAGAGATGAAGGGAAAGGTCAACTAAATTGCAAACAAGAAACCTTGACTAACATTATAAATGGACCTCAGGGAAGAAAATAAAGTTTGAAACGACATCTTTAAATTTTAGGAAACTATGCAGAAACCTCAAGTTCCTCAAAACACAAAAACACATTCCTATTATTAAAGGGTTAGTTCACCCAAAAATGAAAATTTTGTCATTAATTACTCACCCTCATGTCGTTCCAAACCCGTAAGACTTTCGTTCCTCTTCGGAACACAAATTAAGATTTTTTTCTTAAGCGACGAGAATTTGCGCCAAAAAAACAAAATATCGACTTTATTCAGTCATCTCTTCTTTTCTGTATCAGTCTCCGACGTGCATTCACGAGAGCACCACGACGAGCTGGCGTTCTGACATCTGACCTACAAGCAGAGGAAGACGCACGCGAGGTCACGCATGCGTCGAGGTGCTCTCGTGAACGCACGTCGGAGACTGATACAGAAGAGAAGAGATGACTGAATAAAGTCGATATTTTGTTTTTTTTGGCGCACAAAAAGTATTCTCGTCGCTTCATAAAATTGAGGTTGAACCACTGTAGTCACATGGACTATTTTAACAATGTATTTCCTACCTTTTTGGGCCTTCAAAGTGTTAATTAAATAGCTATCAATGGAGCCCCTCCTGAGCCACCGGATTTCATCAAAAATATTTTAATTTGTGTTCCGAAGATGAACGAAGGCCTTACGGGTTTGGAACGACATGAGGTTGAGTAATTAATGACAGAATTTTCATTTTTGGGTGAACTAACCCTTTAACCGGGTTGCCGAAAAGCAATGTTTTGTGGAGTGTTTAGGCCTGGTGTCACAGACAGGATTTAGATTAAGCCAGGATTAGGCCTTAGTTCAATCAGGACATTTAAGTAGGTTTTATAAACATGCCTTAGAAAAAAAAAAATTTCTGTTGTGCATCTTGAGACAAAACAATGTCACTGACATATTTTAAGATATTAAAACAGTTCAGTTAAAACAGCTCAAACATGTATTTTAGTCTGGGACTCGGCTTAAGCCTTGTCCGCGAAAGCAGGGGGTTTATGTATTTGACAAGATTCATTTGTACCAGTGGTATGTGCTGTAGTTTGTCACTGAGCTGCTGCACTCCTGCTTTGACAGTGTTTAGTGTATGTGTGAGTCTGTCCAGACGATCTTTAACTGCATCACGGCGCAGCTGCTCCTGCTGCAGCTGACGCTCACAATCCTGCAGCATCTGTTGGCTGCTAAACAACCAAACACACGCACAGAAGAGAATTAGAGAGCTGACCGTGAACAATAACGTTATGTTATTATTCAGTCACAATAACAGAGCATGTGAAGTGATATCAGCACTATTCATACAGCCTACAATGTCTGCTCTCACCTTGAGAGTTCAGTTTCTCGTGAGTATTTCATATCCTGAAGCTGAGTTTGCAGTGTGTTCCTCTCTTCCTTCAGCTGAAGCAGCATTCTCTCATTTTCTACCTTCATCTTCTCCAGATGTTCCTGTGTTTCTCCCTGAGAGATAAACCTGTCCACTATTTCCTATTACAAGAGAAATCCGGAATAAACATTGCTTAACACAAGAACAGAATTAACATTGCTTAACAAGGAGTAATCTATATACACTGGAAACAATTGAATGTTGTCTGTCCTCACCCGTGAGTCTGTGACTCCAGTGGCCTCTTTGATTTGGTGGAAAGCTTCTTCAAAAGTAGAGATGGCTTCCACTTCTTCTACTGCGTTGGCACTGCGCTGGGCCTCGCTGCTCAGCTCATCGGGGTGCATGGCCGCCCACTGGGGCTAGACGTGACAGACGGAGGGGAGATGGCTGAATAAACTCCACAAAATCATTCTAAGATACCTAGTTTTGGCCAAGCGGAGAAGGCTTAGTGAAAAGAACGGCCTAAAATAAACGTTGAGAAAGATACACTACCGGTCAAAAGTTCAGTATACTTAAAACATTTGTTTTATGTTTTTGAAAGATGCCTCTTATGCTCACCAAGGCTGCCTTTATTAGATAAAAAATACAGTAAAAACAGGAATATTTATTAATATATTTCACAATATTACTGTATTTCTCATCAAACAAATGCAGCTTTGGTGAGCATAAGAGACTTTACAAAATCGTAATTATTCCAAGCCTTTAAACCGGTAGTGTATATACTTGTAAATAGTTGAATTGTCTATTTTATTTTTATTTGTGTGTTGTGAGCTTTGCAGCATGCTAACACCAAGCTCTATTAGCATCAATTGCGAGTCCAGTCTCCTGTGCACTTCACATGAGAAGTGCTATTAGTATGACGCATATTTTTATGCTTATTAGAGTATTGCATTGTTAGCTGATGTGTGATGGAGGAGGATGCTCACTCTTCTCTTCATCCTCTCTGCCTGAGCAATCCTCTCCTCCGCCTGCTTCTTGTAGCGGGAGAGGATTTTCTCTCGCTCTCTGCGCTCTCTGTACACCTGCTCCTCCTGAAGCTGCAGCTCAGCCTGGACACACACACACACACACACATCTTAATGAAATGAGGCATTTATATAGCGCTTTATTATGTACTACTGTACACCCAAAGCACTCTACAATCAGATCAGGTGGTCTCCCCCCTCAACCACCACCAGTGTGCAGCATCCACTGTCAGAACAATGGCGCCAGTACGCTCACCACACACCAGCTACAGGTGGAGAGGAGAGAGAGTGATAAAGCCAACTAAAAGCATGAGGATTCTTATTAGTAGTAGGCCATGATTGATAAAAGCCAATGGAGGGAATTTGGGCAGGACACCGGAGTTACACCCCTACTCTTTACGAGAAGCATTACTTGCACAACCTTTACCATGGCACACCTACACATATGCTTGCTTTATTATCTCATTACATTTTTTTTTATCATTTATTAAATGCTTTGTCTTTACCTTGGCTGCATCCTTTGACAAGTGAGCGTCACTGTTCATGACCTGCAGTTCTTTGAGCACTTGTGTCTGCCGGTGGATCTCTGCCTCCATCCTGTCCAGCTGTGGCTGAAATGTAAGACTGTCTTCCTGAAGAAACAAATAAGAGGATAATCATAAATGTTTCTTTACCATGCTGTTCAAAAGATTGAGGTCGCAAAGAGTTTTAATCTTAAAGCGATTGTTCACCCAAAAAATGAAAATTCTGTCATCATTTAGTCACCCTCATGTGGTTCCAAACCCATCTTTGGAACACAAATGAAGATATTTTTCTGTCCCTCCATTGACAGCCTATGCAACTACCACTTTCAAGCCCCAGAAAGGTAGTAAAGACATCATTAAAGTAATCCATGTGTCTCCAGTGGTTTATCCTCAACTTAATGAAGCGACACGAGTGCTTTGTTTGTGCAAAAAAACACAATTTACCCCTTTATTTACAAACTATTAATCTCCATTGCGCGTTCACGAGAGCACCATGGCGCATGTGTGTTGTGTTGAGGAAAAAGCAGACGTTGTTGCATGAACGCATGCTGGAGACTAATATTTTGTAAATAAGGTGGTAAATTATGTTGGGTTTTTTTGCGCAAACAAAGCACTCTTTAAAATTTTTAATAGATTACTTTAATGATGTCTTTACTACCTTTCTGGGGCTTGAAAGTGATAGTTGTGTAGCTGTCAATGGAGGGACAGAAAGCTCTCAGATTTCATAAAAAGATCTTCATTTGTGTTCCGAAGATAAAGAGTAATTAATGACAGAATTTTCATTTTTGGTTGATCTAACCCTTTAATGAAAGAAGTCTCTTATGCTCACCTGTACAATTTAAAAGAACTGTTTTCTATTTTAATCTATTTTATAATGTAATTTTTTCCTGTGATCAAAGCTGAATTTTCAGCAGCCATTCAGTGTCACATGATCCTTCCAAAATCATACTAATATGCTGATTTGGTGCTTAAGAAACATTTCTCATTATTATAAGAAAAAGAATATCTTTTGAATGGTTGTGTATGAGTGTCATTGGATACATTGAATTGCTTTAATTCCCCCCATCACATATATGGGGTATCATGCTTTATAATACACATCTGTGTGGGTTTATGTGTGTGCTGTGTCAGTCTGTACATGAATCCAGTTCATCATCTGTTTCTTTCTCAGATACCTGTAGGTGGTCCTTCAGTTTGAGGTATCCTCGCATTATGTGCTCTGCTTCATGATATTTCAGCTGCGTTTTCTCCAATCGGTTTTCCAGAATGCGCAATTTCTATACAACAAGCACATAAGTTCATTCATTTTCTTGCTTAAACTAACATATTTAATTGTGCTCATCAATACAGGGTGGGTAAACACTCTGCGTACCACTAATCATGACATAGGGGAAGACGAAAGACTTGAGAGAAGGAAGAAGAGAATTTACACAGGAAGAATGACCACTTAGGGAAACTTATTGGCAGAGTTCCCTTCTTTACTGTAATTCTCATTATGGTATGCAAAAAAATCTTATTCTCGCAAATTGTTTAGATTGTATAATAATAATAGTAATAATAAAACATTGTGGGCATGGTTTTGGACAGGATCATTTTCAGGTTTTTTTTGTGTAAATTACAGTAAGGAGAAATTGGGACAAAAATGATTTGACTGGAAAAAAGGCTTAATTTTCTTACTGCTTTTTTTCCTTTTGATTTTAGGAGGAAACCTGGACGACTCTTAAATTGTAAGATTCACCAGTGTTCATCCAAAATGCACAGAAAAAAAAGACAATTTCTACCTTTTCCTCCTCCTCTAGCTTCTGGTTGTCAGGCAGAGGGCTTCTGCTCTGTGGCTTCATGCTCTCTGGCTTCATGCTCTGGTACTGGAGCTTCAATTCCTCGAAACGCTGCCTCTGTGTCTGAGTGGTGTGTTTCATAGCATTCAGCTTCTTGATTTTATCACACACCTCCTTCTCCAGCACCGTCCGAGCTGACTGGACAACAAAAATTTCTGTCAACCACAAATTATGTGCAGGTGATTCTGTAACCACGAGCAATTTGACTGGATAGTACAAGTAAAAGAAGTGAATTTTTTTTTTAAATAACTGATATAAAGGTTAATTTAATCCCACCTTACAGGACATGTTCCTGAATGATGCTTTCTCCATCCCACGACCTTGAAAAACATCCTTGATTGCTTGTTCATCTCCCTGGACAACCATGACCAATATATGCATCAAATACACCTAACGTTACTTAAATTGTATGGTTATGTTTTAACATTGCATATGTGTGTGTGTGTGTTCATAATTCTGACCTCAGCCAGTTTCTTGTGCAGGTTTTTATTGTCATGTCTTAGCTGAGAGATGGTTTCTCTGTTCTTCTTGATGGCAGACTGAGAGCTTTCGAAATACGCGCTTCTGTCTCCCTCTAGTGGACAGAGAGAGAAAAACATTCAGCGGCCATGTGAAGTTGGGTGTAAATGTCATGTCATGCAATATTAACTTTCTGTAGACCATTTTATTGAGCTCTTTATTCAATTTAAAAGTAATATAAATGTATTAAACAGCTATAGAAGCAACTTTGCTATATAATAACTCCAGGCTGACATTAACGTTACAACACAACATGCCATCCATGAGAATAATAAGAACAATAATAAGAAAACAATTGAAATACTTATTACTCCACTACTTCCACAATATTACTGAATATTTAAGCAGGTTTTAAGTTAACGTTAACTGTTTCAGCTTAATTGGCGAAATGTAATAAAAAAAACTTACCCAGAAGTTGAATTTTTCTTTGGAGCTCCGAAATTTGATTATGGATAGGGTGCTTGATGCCCCCTGAGACATACGTGCCAGGCATTTTTATGAATATGTATTATTTTGAGGTTTAATTGTGAATTTCTGTCTCTACCGCCGTGCCAACAGCCTCTTCGTTTGTGTCTGAAACTCGTTGCTTAGCAACAGAACCACAGTGTTGGCTCATGAATATGAATTAAGTTACGTACCTTTACGCTCGAGAAAGAGGACATTACGTGCGTGAGCTAATTAATGTTTATTCATTTCTCAACCAGATCACATCACAGAATTATTTAATATTTACACTCCGAAACAAGTACAAGTACAAACTGAAAAATGGCTACGTCACATGGACGCATTCAAAAACACTGCAGAAAACTTTTTATTGTGATAAAACGAGTGGCTTCCATTATATTAAAAAACAAATTAAACGTTGTCAGATAGCTATAGCCAATGGTTATCATTATTGTAACGAAATATCACAATTTTAAACACAAACACTGTCGTCTGAAGTTACTCAGTAACACATAATTAGATATTCAAAAAGTAATAGTTGTTAATAGTCTAATAAAGCATAATACTGTATATACAAATGACAACAAAAAATACACAATAATCTGTAATTAGCAAAAACGAAATGAATAGATTTGTAACACTTTTGGCTGTAATGACATGGCATCATTTACTGGTGCCTGAGCACCAGTAAATTGGCAAATTGGTAAATTGACCATTGGCAAATGGTCTCTCTATTTTTCTCTCCCTACAAAATTCTTTCTATCAATTTTTTTTATCTTGTCCTAATCCACTGTTTTCAACCCCTCATTGGACTTCTTGAGGATGGACAGCAGACTCTCTGGCATGAAGTAAGGTCTGTCCACTGTGCCATCATTGCGTTCAAGATCCTCCACTGTTGGAACAATTTAGGTTGAGACAAACAATAGCATGATCTTAACATGAAACATTTGCCAAATAGTATAAACGCGAACAATAGAAGCATCACCTTGGGAGCAAAGAAAGGCTTGAGATCTCAACAAAGAGAGTTCAGTTTATTAAAGCACTGGGATCACATTAACAACATGCAAAGATTGAGAAAAGTGAAGCACAGAGGTAGAAAAAGAGGCAATAGAGCGGCAAACAGCGACAAATATCAGGCATTGAAAAGGTTGCAATCTGTCGATACAATAACCAGAGCAGACCAAAATATAGGGCAATACACTTTTTTTTTCTTTGATTGTTTTGTTTTTAAGTTCACTTACTTTCGGTGCATTTTCATGTTCTGTTACACTGCACCATTTAATGACCACATTAGGCATATCATTTTCACATTTTTCAGATACATTTCCACAAATTCTTACAAAATGACATTTTGGTCTTGGCTGGTATGACTGTAAACAGATGTGTTTTTTTTTTTTTGTAGTTGTTGCTGTAAACATAGCGATACTGCAAAGTCTTTTTGCATTCTTCAAAATGATTAAGACATTGATAAGTAACAATAATTAGGCACAAGTCGAGCACCTACATTACACTTTTACATGTCCTTATATTAAAACGTTCTACATATATCACAAACACAGTCACATTCTACAAGCGCTATGTAGGCATATCTAATGGGGTTTAGGTCCACGTAAACAATTGTCATCCGTTCAATCAGCTCATACGTTGAGTAAAAGACTGTTTCTGTCCTATTTGTGTCATGCCGTCCATTATGACCAGTGATTATTAATTAAGAGACAGTTCTCAAAATCGATTGATTGAGTAAACATTATGACTCAAACGAAGGAGGTACTTTCATTTGTATACTAATGGCTTGCTAAAGCCACCAAAGTGCACTAGTTCCCAAATTAGTAGGCTTCTCTGAAACCCCACCTTCAATGAGACTCATTGCACAACTACTCCTGAGGGGTGAGCAGGGTCTCGCTCTCTTGAGGTCCGTTTTCTTGAGGCTTCGGTTCCTCTGGTTCTTGTTCTTGTAAGTTCTCGGCCTGTGGTGCTTCTGCTTGAGGTTGGGCCGCCTGCTCCTCCTTGTCGTCACCGTCCAACTCTTGGGGTCCATTTTGCTGTGGGGTCACTTGTGGAGGTTCAGGCTCTTGTGTTGTAACCTGCTCTTCGGGTTTCTCCTCGGCGGCTACGGGTGCCTCTGGAGGATGTGTTTCTTGGGGAGGCTCTTCAATGTGCGTCTCTTGATTTAGTGGCGTCTCTTCTTCTTGCTCCTGCTTAAGAACTACCTGCTCTTTGAGCTGCACCTCTCCATTCTCCTGCAGCGGGATTTCCTCTTCGGCTTGCACATGTATGACTGGTATCTCGGCATGGTCTGTCTCCTCTGCGCTTTTTTCTATAGACAAAATCTGGTGCAGCTCAGGGGACATGAAAAACGGCTTGTCCGAAGAACCGTCATTTCTCTCCAGGTCTTCGCCTTGAGTTTGTGTTTGTATGTGATAATGATATTTTTAAATGTTAGTGTTTTGAGAGTGCACGTAGCAGAAAGGAGCACAAGGACACATGATTGGACAAAATCATGTGGAAGAGAGAAAAACAGAGAGAAAGAAAGGAAATGGTTAGAGATAAAGCAAGCCAAAAGCCCCTGTAAGCATTTGTGATATGCAGATATGTCAACAGTGGGTCCCGGAAGTAAAAGTCCCAGTCATTTTCTCCATACAGAAAGATCAACCGAGAGCTCTGAGGTTGTGAAGCAACGATATGTGCTTCTGTAGAAGCCATAATGTGATTTCAACCTTCAAAAAATGTGTTTAATAGCCAATTTCATAAATAAGAATTACAAAAATGCTAAGCAGTGATTGCCCGCTCCTATAAAGCATTGTGGATGACAACATTGGGTCTCTCTACACTCTCAAAAAACTGTATACTGTATTTTCTGAATCACTTGCAACTTTTACAATGCTTCGTGGGATGCATTGTTCATTCCCTCATAAATACATTTTAAGTCGGTATGAAACAGAAGTTACGATAGTCTTTTATTCCCTATTTTGGTGTATATCCGAGTGAAACAGCTTCTCGAACAAGAAAAAAACGTCAGGACTTGATTTTGTCCATCGAGAATTGTTTGGATGGTTGTTGTTTGCTATTGGTCGATCTCGCGTGAGTGACAGGTTGTCCCGCCCTCACGCCAGTAAACACATCATCAGAAAAGAGAAGAGATGTCGTTACAAGAGGGAGGGGGAGTTATTTTGATTAAAGATCATGAAATAAAAAAAATTATAAAAATGATCTAAATCTATAAAAGTGATTATAGAGAAAATGAATGGGATTCTGGTGGGTGGGCACTGTTGCTCTCTATTGCACTGGAGGAAAGAACAACAGTTAAAAGAAAGGAAAGAGTGCAGTTTGAGTGCTGCTAATGCATTTAGTTGTAGATAACAATGAAAGTTCAACATCTTATTTCTCAACACCCAATAAAAGTCTAACACAACAGCTGCTATTTATCAGAACCGTTGTTCTGTTACGCAGACAAAACATTGACAACTTGTTAGATTTGTTCATTACGTATTATCTCGTGAAATAAATAACACTTACAGAAACACAGGAAGAGTGTGTCCACACACATGGCATAAACGCTGAAAAAGCCATGAGCAATCAGATACGAGCCAAACACCACAGTCTGTAAATGAAGGGAGATGTAATTAAAACGCAGTCTGGAAATATTCAATTCTGGTATTGCAAATGGACAATCTGGTATTGCTTTCAACTCACGATCACTTACCAATATAGGCACCCAGTAATAATTAAGGGACGGAGCAACGTCCTCCGCAACCTTAAACTTGCCCGTGAAAAAGAAGAATGAACAAATTCCTAAAAAAAGAGAAGAAACAGCATGCTGTGTTATATTGGTAAATTGGAATATGAGAAGTCAGTTCCAACCAAATAACCTCTGAATTCACGTGACATCTGTGTCAGTCTGTGAGCAAATCACTCACCCACAATTCCAACGATAAGGAGTTTGCCCAAAAATAAGAGGAAGTCTGTCACTTTGTCAAGAACTACCACACTAGAAAACAAGTCAAGTAAAGAGATTCAACTCCGGACTGTTTCATCTGTTTATTCCCACAAAACCTCGACTAAAAGATTTAGATTTAAATAACACTCACCGGACAATGTTCCTCATCAGGAGGAAGAATGCATCCTTGGCAGATGTACAGAAATTTTTACCATATATTGCCACCTGAAAAGACAAAATGCCTCAAAGTAACTCTGCTTTGGTTTCAGCAATTGTGTTTGAGCAATATAACACTAAACATGCACTACTGATGCTCCCTAGCCAGAAACAATGCACAAAAGAGAGAAAGAGTACCATGATATAGGCATTTCTGTTCAGGAACTTGATGAATTTCTCCAGACACCAAAAGCAGCACTTTAGGCAACTGAGCAGGAATTTTGCACACTTATTCTGGGCACCTGAAGGAAGCAAATCACACAATCAAGACTTAAACGCATATAACAGACAGAATACAATGTCAGCCTTTATTTGCTCTCATGTCCAAACCTGTACGACGGTTTTTCTTTATTTAAAAGAAAAAAATTGATTTTTCATGTTGCTCTTTTTCAAACAACAAAACCATAAATTGACCAGTGGTTGCCAAGTGTAATGTGTATGCTCTGTTTTGGTTTAGTTTCATTGTGTTTTGCCCTGTCATTGAAAGTTGACCTAGTTTCCTAGTGTGTGCCAGTTTGTGCCAGGCATAAGACCATAGCTCGAACAAATCATAACAATCACACTGTACGACATGGGTCTAGTAAACTTTGGTAGACATGTATGCAGACTGTACGATGATGACAGCTATTGAATAATCGTAGGCTATGACGCAAGTTAGTATAGAAGAATAAAACGTCATCAGCATTTGTTAGTGGCAAACAAATAGAGCACTTTGCCAATTGTGGTTTTTATGTGCACTGAAAAAATAGGAGGAAGCGAAAGAGGAGAATGTGATGCGGTCATGGCTAGGGAAAAGAGGCCCACTTGGCATGCCAATCTTACAATTGGAGCTTGAGGTGAGTAGTTTTAGCGCCATGTTGCGTTTATCAATATGCCATTTCATGTTGCATTTTTATTGGATAGTTAGTTGTAAATCGTAGCAGCAAAAATGCGTTCATTATGTAATCTTTAAAACATATCCTTTTTGTACAA